GAAAGGGAGAAAGAGAGGGAGAGAAACATCAATGTGTGGTTGCCTCTCATATGTCCCCAACTGGGGCCCCGGCATGGAACCCAGGCATGTGCCCTGACTGGGAATCAAACCAGTAATTCTTTGGTTTGCAGGCTGGCACCCAATCTACTGAGCCACACCAGCCAGGGCTGAATGCACTTTTGATATTGCTATAAGAAAACTGAAAAGAAGGAACATAAAAATCAGTAAGAAAGAAAAAATGAGCTTTGACAAATGAGTTACAGTGGGCTAGAAAAAGAAAAAATTAAGAGGAAAATCAGGAGATTGATAGACACATTTGCTAAATAATTGTTAGCTCAGATTAAGCCAAAATTGCAATTTTTGTTCAAATTCTTGTAGAACATATTAACAAAGCAAACTTTCCTCTAAATGTACTTTTTTCCCCAAATATTTTATTAATGAACACTGAACTGTAATCATTTCATTCACACATGAACATGAAGTAATGAAATAATGCACTTGTGTTATCCCAGGTGAGTCTACAGATTCTTTTCACTCTGAATCCTAAAGCCCTAGAACTATTCTCTCTTGGTTCTATGGTTAGAGCCAGCACCACCTTCCCAGTCTGGCCAAGACAATATGAGAAGTCCTCCCTCATGTGACTTTGTCAACCTGGCTTTGGACTCTCTGAAGCCTTTGTTTCTCTAAGTCCTTACTAGTCAAAGGATGGTCTGAGAACCAGCAGCATTGGCATGACCTGGAAGCCTGTTAGTAATGCAGAATCCTGGGTCCCACTCAGCAAATCCCTACATCAGGTTTGAGAAGCATGTTCTAATTCACATGTCCCAACTTTGCCTCTCCAAATCTACTTCATTCACTGCAATAATGGGTTTCATACTGCCTTGTTCATCTTTGTAATCCTTCTTCCCTCTTTTGCTTACTCCATGCCCAGAACCTAACACAGGGTTCCAATAGGTGCTTAGTAATTGCTGACAGAGCACTACTCCCATTTTGGACACCATCCTGCTATAGTTAGCATTGTTTGGCTGTTTGCCTTCCATTTCAATTTACCACACATTAGCTGCCAAAATATCCTGGTTCCATGCACATATGGCATAGAAGCTCATCCAGGACTCTAAGGTACAGCATGCATTGTTGATAATAAAGTGAATTAACTGAGTCCTGGGATTTCATTGCCAGTGACTTTGTCTTGTCATTTAGCTTTGAGAACAGTGTATAAGGAATACTGATAAAATGTACTAGAACAGGAACTACAGTAGGCCAAAGCTAGCCTGCTGCCTTTTTTTTTTTTAATAATAAAACTTTATTAAAACATAAACACATCTATTGGTTTATAGATTGTCTGTGGCTACTTTTCATCTATAGTAGCAAAGTTGAGTAGTTGTGACAGGCACCATTTGGCCTGTAGGGCCTAAAATATTTCCTACTGACCCATTATAAAAAAAGTTTGCTACTCCCTAGTCTACAGCTGCATTTGATGTGTGTGGCAAGTGCAGTCTCCCTAGATTCACCAGAAGTTGCAATGACCTAGTGATATGCAGCTTTCAAAGAGAGCCACAAGATCCCCACCTTCTGGTATTCATGCCCTTGTATTATCCTCTTTCCTTGAAGGTGGGCTGCATGTCCAGCCTCCTGGCCAATTTTGAGAGTCATCCAGTATCTTTCCAATAAGATCCTGCTGCTTAAGAAAGCCCCAGTTGTGCCCTAGCTGGTGTGGCTCAGTGGGTAGAGTGCCAGCCTGCAAACTGGAAGGTTGCAGGTTCAATTTCCAGTCAGGATACAGGCCTGGGTTGTAACCCAGGTCCACTCAGGGGCTTGTGAGAAGCAGCTGATCGATGTATCTCTTGCACATGGATATTTCTCTCCCTCTCTTTCCCCCTCCCTTCCACTCTCTCTAAAAACAAATAAATAAAGTCTTAAAAAAAAAAGAAAGCTACAATTGTGTCCTATTGTTGGCTACTGAGAACCTCAGCAGATAGACATATATCCATATTACAGCACTACATGGTAAAGGCTGAAAATACAGGTGCAAAGAGTGTGAAGTTCAAGGCCAATAGGTTTTTACCACTTATATCTCTATGGACCGGTTTTATATTTTGCTTTAATAAAATTTTACTTCTAATTATGTATCAGAATTACCAATTATAAAACGATTTGGGATTTTCCTTCATGTCTTTTTAGTAACAATTTTGGCAGTGTATAATTGTTGTGTGCCCTTGTTCCATGTAGCACATCTCAATCACTTTTCCACGTCTGCGGAACCATTTTTGAAGAGGCCATATATTTATTTCAGCCTGTGCCTGTGCAAGAGGTCTGGAGGCAGTGAATCTGCAATTGAGCCCAATCTCATACTACATCAGGTGGAAGAAGTGTCTTTTTCTAATTTGTTGTCCTCATCTTTTGGCAATTCCCCCATCCAGAGGAGATGAGTTTAAAAACAAAAAAGGAATTAAACAGATGTGTTATGTATGCTCCTGCAGTCCCAATTCAACTGAAAGGCATATATGATGCTTTCTTCAACTCCTTACTTCATGCTGAGCATTTAGTTTGCTCCCATACTTCATTTATCAATACTTCCTGTGGAACATTTTTAGGCCTAAATTTCTTCCACTCGACTTTGTTAGTTGGTTTTGGCTTCTTTTGGTGGGAGTGAGTCAACAGGCACGAACATCTTCTCTTTCCAAACATCACCAAATATGTAGCTTTCTAAAATGACCGTTATCGATGTTCTCTACCACCTTCAGTGTAAAAAGTGTCCATGTCACAGGATCCTTCCCCAGAATGAAACCATTAATTTCTTAAGATTGCTTGTTTAGCAAGCAGGAAAAAAAAACAAACACAAAGACACTGAAATAGAGAACAAGGGGATAGTGACCAGAGGGTAGAAGGAAGGGAAGTTAAGGGGAAAAAGGGGGAGGGATTTGGAGGAACAAATAGGAAGGACACAGGGAGGAGAACTAAGGGGAGTGGAAATGGGAGGGAGGTGGGGAGCAAGGGGCGGGGGAGGCTGGGATGGAAGAAATAGACAAAAAAACTGTACTTGAAAAATAACTAAATAAAATTAATTAAATTAAAAAAAAAGATTGCTTGTTTGGAGAAAGCCAGTCTCTCCTATAAAAAGCTTTGACAAAATATCAGATACTTTTATTCTCTTAACCATTTCCAGGATACACGAAGTTCTAAATGGGTGTGCTGACAGAAAAAAAAGTATACCTTCACAAATAAATCCTCAATGAGAATTTCAAGAAAGCGTGAGTAAGGCATGGGACCCATTTTTTCTACCTTGGCAGTTAATATTTAAATAAAGATTGGCTTACATTTGACTCACTACTGTAATGTAAATGAAAGTTTTAGAACAAGTTAAATACAATGACATCTTGTAATTTAAAGTGCACTGGCTTGAAAAAGTCATCAAACAATAGTTTAGAATTATTGAATATTTTTATTAAAGAACAAGGCATCTGGTTGTCAATTACCAGGCATCTGGTAATTGAGGGAGGAAATCAGACTAAATGACCATATTAGTTCTGGCCAGACGCTGAAGGCCTTCAGTTAAATTACCATTTACCTATCCTCATCAAAACGAAACAAATAATTGCCTTTTCAAGCAAGCCATTCCTTGCTTATTTGGCCAAACAGTTACCATCATAGTATCTTTGAGAGCAAACAAAATACCAGAATCTATGTCATGTAGTTTACACGTGTAAAGTTCAATTTTGCCCGCTAAGGAAAGGATAACATAAACAAAGGGAAGTGGTGAAAACAAAACAGTAATGATAGGACGGGTTAGAGAGCAACACTTGGCAACTTGTGCCAAATTAGTGGGGGAAGCAAAGCACTCTATTGGCAAGTGCAAAGTAGGAAGGCCTTCCTCCTTTTGACTCTGCTGACCTCAGTGAATATTTCCTTCTTTTAAAAATGAGCACAATTCTTTGCTACCTAAGGAGGCCTGTTATGAAAATTAATGAGTCTTATAAAATGTTTTGATGCCTCTAGAATCCCTTCCTAACTACACACTATAACCTTGTCTTCTAACAGCTTTTTGAAGATATGCCAGACTTTTTTTTTAGTATACCTGTTACACCCTCGACCACTGTAAGTTCACTTTAAGTCCTCATAAAATTAATACAATGCTCAGTATTTTAAGTCCAGAAACGGTTCCCACTCTCATACGTAATGTTAAGATATTAAATACTGTAAAATGAAGTAGGTTCATAAAGAGGGAGGCGTCCAACGGAAACCTGTGTTGGGGAACCCGTGGGCACTCTCCAGACCTCTTACCTCGCGGACCCTATTTGGGTTTCCCAAAGCCGGAGCGCTCAGGGGAAGGTCCGCGGGCGGTGCTCGCAGCGGATCCCAGCGGGGTTCGATTACTTTCGCCTGGGCGAGATGCTGCACCTCTGCTCCAGCGGGAACCCAACGGTGGGGAGGTGGGGCGACAACAACAAAAAGAAGTAAAGTAGGAGGTGATGGGCACGGGGAGGCGTTTGGCTAGCTGGACAAGGCGGGGACTTCCGCAGGGACCGTGCGTCTAGAGCCCCCCCCCCCCAGTCTCATCTGCGAGCTAACTGCGGGCCGGGGAGGAGGCGGTCCCCGCCGATCGGGCTGCTCGCCTCAACCCCACCGCCCCGGCCCGGGCGCTTCGCAGGCGTGCTCCCCACCGCTCGCGCTTCCCCGCCCCTCGCGCTACTCGGCGCTCGGTGCCCGCCCCCTCGCCCAGCGCCGCCCGCGCGCAGCGTCTCGCGCCGGCCAGGCCCGCCCGCCGTGAAACAGCCGCGAGAGCGAGAGCAGCGGTCGCGGCGGCAGCCACTGCGCCCCCTGTGCCCGACTCCCGCCTCGCTCTCGCTCTCGGCGTCTCGGCCCGCGCCCGCTCTCCGGCCAACGTTCTCTCGGGGCCTCCTGGGGCCCGCCGCCCACTCCCTGTCTCTGAGCCCCCCCAACCGTCGCGCTCTCCTTCGGCGCGCGGCCCGCCGCCTGCTTCCGGGGCGGGCGGACAGGGCGCCTGGTGCCGGCGGCCGAAGCGACAGCGCCCCCGGGAAGCAGAGGAGGAAGGAGAGAAGAGGTGGAGGCGATCGTAGGCTGAGTCGCGGCCGGGATGTCCGGGCAGCCGCCGCAGCCGTCGCCGCAACAGCAGCAGCAACAGCAGCAGCTGCCGCCACCGCCGCCGGCGGCCGTGGCCCCGGTCTCCGGAGTCGTTCTCCCGGCGCCCTCGGCCGTCAGCGCCGGCTCCTCTCCCGCCGGCTCCCCCGGTGGCGGCGCGGGGGGCGGCTTGGGGGCCGCGGCGGCCGCCCTGCTCCTCCACCCACCGCCGCCACCGCCGCCACCCCCGGCCACTGCCGCCCCGCCGCCGCCACCGCCACCCCCGCCGCCTGCCTCTGTCGTCGCCCCCGCCAGCGCGCCCCCCGCGCCCCCGGGTCTCACAGCGGGCCCGGGCTCGGCCGGAGGCGCCCCAGCCCTGGCGGGCAGCAGCGCCGCGGCCCCCTTCCTGCACGGGGATTCGGCCCTGAACGAGCAGGAGAAGGAGCTGCAGCGGCGGCTCAAACGCCTCTACCCGGCGGTGGACGAACAGGAGACGCCGCTGCCTCGGTCCTGGAGCCCGAAGGACAAGTTCAGTTACATCGGCCTCTCTCAGAACAACCTGCGGGTGCACTACAAAGGTACTGGGCGTGTGTCCTGCGGTGGGAGTGGGGCCACTGATCCAAAGTGTCCTGTCGCTGTTGCCAACTCCTGACCCGCCCCCGACCCCCTCCCTCTCGGGCTGGCGCCCTCGGAGGGGACTCGCTGCCTTTGCTGCTTTTCCAAGGGTGGGTTTGGGGGTCGTGGTGAAAGGTGCGAGGGCGAGGGGCCAGATGCTTGGAAAAGGAAGGTGAGTACTGCTCCTCAGCATAATGGAGCGGGTAATCCTAGGCCAGGAGGAGAACACCTTGAGGGAATCCAGGATGACAGGACGCAACTCGCTTTCTGATTTCCCTTGAAGATAAATCTTAGGGCTTGGATGGAGGAATCCATGGACTCGGAGTTGGGTTACATTGTTCTCCAGGTGGCGGTGGGTCAGGCGTTCTCTTCTTACGTGGGGTGCGGGGGTGGGGTGGGGAAGAGAGGCACGATTCAGAGGTATAATTTCTCATTAAGGGAGAGCGGGGATATATAGAGGAAGGAGTAATTAGTGGAGGATTTTGTCCAAATTAGGCCAGAGATTGTCTAGGGGGACAAAAGGACAAGGGGCTCAAGTTTGCCATCAGTGTCTCTTACTAAAGGCAACTGGGAGGGTAAGAGTGGTGAAACCTCAGGAGTCCGCGTTTTCTTCGGGGAGCAGAAATCTACCACTACTGATTGGAAACGTTCTGTATTTACGTGTTGTTGTTATATGAAATCTGATTGAAAACAACGATTTTTTAAAATGTTATTCGGTGTTTTAAATAAAATTGGCTTATGTTTTACACCTGCGGTTTAAAAAAAAAAAAGGCTTAGGTTTGTGCTTGTCTCCCTCCTTCCTTATCTGTGTCTGCTATATTAAAACAAAGCTTTAAGCAGATCAGTTTTATATAAAATAGTAAATTGCCAAGGGAATTTTTGAAATGTATCCCGAATTAATACCATGCTTCAAGTTTACTTGGGGGTCGGAGGGGGGGTGGTGGTTGAGGAACAATCCAATATATCTGCTTAGAAACAAATCCAGTTTTTTAGGCCCCAAACCTAAACCTGGAGCTTTACATTCAAAGCAGCCTCGTTTTGATTGGCTACAAAGGGAGGGTCCTAATCAGATCCTAGTGACACAGATATAGAGGGTATAAACAGTCCTGGTGGTTAAATTCTTAAAGCATGCCGGACTGAAATTTGAGAAGAACCTTGACAAATAAGTTACTATTTAATCAGAAAGGAGAATGGCGACAAATCTACGAAATGATTTGACTGCAGAGAATCACATGCAAAAAATAGGCCTTGTTGAATATTTTTATCCATAGATCCAGAGAAACTTTCTGTATATGTTTTTATCTTAATGGCTGAAAATTTAAAATATCGAGTCTTTGTTTTTCCTTAAGTCAGGCATTTTGTTAATAGTCTGTGAAGGCTATTTCTTAATTTTGTGTTCTAATTTGTGTGAACAGTGCTGTTATGAAGTAATTACTTCTGATCTGGCCACCAGAAAGCTTTTTGTTAGACCTGACAAAACTTTATTTTAAATTCATGGTTGATGGTTAATAATTAGCTTTAGAAAATCAGAGGCGGAAGATATGTAGGATTATTGAACAAAGAGCCCTAGCTTTCCTGAGTTCTGCAGTCATTCGTGATTTTAGGCATGTTACAAAACAGGGCCTCAGTTTCTTCCTTTGAGTGATGAGGGAGTTGAGCTGGATGGCTGGGAAGGAAATTTCCAGCCCTGAGTTTCCGTGATATATAAAATTCATGATTACAGTTTATTTAGCATTGTGACATGGCTTGGTTAGTTTTACTAACTCCTTTTACATAAAATTGATGATTTGGGTCAGAGACAAGTACATGCTTGTGTGAAATTGGTTGGCGTTTGGAATATTTATGACACTGCTGTCTCAATTATTTTTCCTATTGGCCTCTGTATTTCTGTTGTGTAATACTAAGATTCGCTTTCTGGAAACTTCTCTCCCTTTTACAAGCATTAACTACTATTTACAGAAGAACAGATTTTGTTGTCATCCTTTTGCTTTTCTGTCCCTTTCTTCCATCCCCTCTTTGTCTCTCTCTCCCTTTGCCCTTGTTTGCAAACACAGTCTCTTTTCGCCCTTTTCTACTGCTTCTTCCTCTTGTCTTGTTATTTTAATGTGTTGGGTGTTTCATTTTTCCTGTTGTTTTTCTGTGTGCCTTCTGAGTGGACCACACCAAAAGCACTGAGCAACCGTGTCCCAGTAATACGGGAAGGGAGCAAAGGGGAAGTGTCCTAGGCAGTGGGTAATAAAACTTTGAAGTCCCAAAATAAGAAGAGTGAGTTTTACTTAACCTATCATTGTGCTGCATTGTTTTTACCTAAGCATTTTGAGACACTTTTAACATTAAAAACTACTGTTAACAAAGTATTTTTGCATATTACAGGATTTTAAAGCTGTTTTTCAGAATGAGGGTTTTCCTTACCTTTGAAATAGAAATGTTTTGGTTTCTTGTGCTCTGACCACGTTCTGCTTTTAAGAGGTTATTCTTCTAAGTGGAGTTACTGTTTTTGGAAGCAGTGTCTGGTTTTTTAAATGATTTGAAGGGATTAATGATAAACACCAGATAAATAGAAAAAGTTGTTTAGGTTACAGAGGAATAGCAGGTGTGTATTCTATATGTTAAAAATTAAAAAAACCTTTTTGCTTAGTGGTCATACAACAACTGTTGAAACACTCAGGCGTTTCTTTCCTTTTATTTTTACAATTATTGTCAGCTTTGAATAAGTATAAATGTGACAAGTTTGGACTTAGTTATAAAGATAACTGTTTCAACTTAAAGTATTTTCATGAATTTGACAATGGATTTGATTACTATCAATGTTTCAGTTACAGATTTCGTTTTTATATTATAATATTATCATTATTTGGATACTTTACAAAGCATTTTGATACCAGTGGATTTGGACAAGATGGTAGAATTCTCATTTTAGATCTAGAAAGTGGGAGCACCTAGAGGTTAGATTTTACCAGTCACGGTTAACCCAGGATTGAAAACTTAACTTTCACTATTCTAAATTTAGTACTCTTTCCATTATACCAAATTGCCCATTTAAGTTGCTATGAGACTTAATGATCTCAAATAGGCAAAATTCAGTGATTACATTTAGAACTTTTGAAGAATAGTTGACATTAAAAGTATTTCCTCTGGGGAAAAGTGTTACCTGGAGCACACTAATGCCATGGAAAAGTCCAGAAACCTTGATTGTGCTAGTTCAGGGCAGCTTAGAAGAAACACAAGATAAGTGTAAGTTGGGAATGGTAAGAAGCAATCAAATAGTGGGTTGCAGTTTCTAATTAAACATTATTAACAGTATCTAACCCAATAGGTTGAACTCTTGGTGTGCCTAATTCCCCTCCCCCTCAATATCAACAGTTGTTAGACCCAAGTTTAATTGCTTATCTGATTTCTTGCACGTCTTAAGGTTAAACAAATACCTCAGGATATATTTGCTTACTTGCCAGTACATATGTCTCGTAAGAATTATGGGAGTGATGTAAAATTGCTCTTCACAATCAAGGGACTTAAAAACCAAACCGAGCTTTTCCCAGGGATCTCTCTGTTGAAATTTTGGGAAATTTAGCTTTAAAAGTACCAGGTAATAATTGAAAGAATCAAGTGAATCTAATAATCATACTTGGAGAAAATAGATAATAATGATAATTTATTGAGCAGTTGCTATAGGACAGATATTCTGCTAGACAGTTTGTATATATGCCCTGCTCTCTGCTTTCTTATTCTTTATTCACCAGCCTTTAATGAGAGTTTATGTTGTATAAGGTTCTGGGCACTCAGATGCATGAGATACTGTCTTTGAACTCAGAGAGCTCAATGGGCATGAGTGTAGTAAAGGGAGTGTTATAAAAAGTAGTGTGGAAGACAGGAGAAGCTCTACCTCAGGTTGACATTGGAAGGGATGAAGTTGGTGAGTCAGGGACAGCTTTTAGAGGGGATAAGACTAGTGGTCAGTCTTAAAAGATGAGTAGTCTAGAGGGGAAGAAGAGAGGGGCTGGGCATTATAAGTAAAAATATAGAGAATTATTTGTGTATCTTTGGATCTACAAGCAGTTTGGGGTTATTGGAATTTAAGTGTGTGACAAGGAGCAGTTAGAAAAAGATCATGAGAGGTCTTATATAATATTTTATTGAGCTTAAATCTTTTGTGGCATTACAAATAGAAAGTGATTGTTTCATATTTTCATTTTTCTCATATTACACAACTAATTGGAAGATAAATTCAAAGGGTGCAATACTGGAAATAGCAAACTCATTTAGAAGGCTGTTGCAGCAGACCAGGTAAGAAATGAGGATCTGAATTTGATCATTGGTAGGGGTGAAGACGAGCATAGTTGTAATATTTTAAAGTAACACTGACAGGATGTGATGGAATGATGGAGAGAGAAATCAGAGCTGGTGCTTGGGTTCTTCTCTGTTGGTTCTTGCAATGAACCATGAATCTAATAATGATTGTTAGAAGTAGTATAGTGCATTTGAAGATAAGTAAAAATGTGAATCTTACCCATGCGATCTGACTTCATGGAACCCAGAAGAAGCCAAAGAAGCAAGCCCTTCTGAAGTTCAGGTGGCTCCAAATAATCACAACAGCTGGAGTTCCTGGCTTTTCACTTTAATTCTGCTGCTAAGGTGACTCAGCTGCAGTCATTACTTCCGGTTTTCTTACTTCTCTTTTCCTGTTTGACTGGCTTATTCTTTCCTTCCTATTTCAGATTCCTGAGAGACATATCAAATCAACATTGCTAATTGTCATTCTTAGTTAGGCAGAACTTTTCGTTATATGCCTTGGCATGAATTGGTGACATTCATGCCAGGTGCTAGCCTTAGTTGAATCAGCTGTAGTGGGGTATGTGAGGGTAGTTACCACAAATAAAAAATCTTCCTGGCACAAGGATGGTCTGGGCTTTACTTCTTTCAGTAGGGGAAGTGTGTGAGGCAGTTTCTCCTAGGAAGGTTGGCA